GGTAGATTGAGTCAGCAGGAAGGGCAACTACCAAAAATGTGTCGTTTCCGAGACTCAAGTGAAAGGGTGCTGCAACTCAGCACCTGGGCCCGTTATGCCCATACTCGCCCATGTTGTGGAGAGGGAGGCTTGCGGTCACCTGCGATAAGTAGGGATGAGGAAGGAAGGTATTTATGCTGTCAGTGATCCCAATGGCAATAGCGACTCGGTGAGTGAGGAGCAATGTTCGTTATGAGGTCGACAACAAGGAATTCTGGGAGCACTTCTGCATGCTCACACTGAATTCAAAGGGTAGTCCGGGTAGGGCGCTATACGGGTACCTTCCTTGGAAAGGCGCCATGCAGCGCTTACTCGAGAGCGCCGAATTTAGTTCTCCAGGTGTTTTAATCCTACACGTCTTGGAGATTTGTCGTGCTAACTGTCTTTAAGCAAAGCCAAAAAATGACCAAAGTGATGAAAAATGAAAAAATGTTCGAAGGTCATCTCATTGATGACGAAAGATAAACGATTTTCGACGGATAGAGTGCGCATTTTCCCAGATTCTTTAAGATAATTTTGAGAATTTCGCAAATTTTGAATGTTAAACCGCTGTTAGCAACAGGGACACCCCGCCGGGAAATCTTAAATTATCTACCAGCTTTATAGTGTGAGGTATCTTAATTTTGCTGGTATTAATGACTTTTCAAAATTAACGGCATACTGTATGATGACCTGCGAAGGGACCCTTATGTGCGAAAACAGCACGTTCGCAAGCCATAATACTACCATTTTCGTTGCGGAAAGCGCGGAAATGGAATTGTGGTGATAGCCTCATGCACTTTGTGCCTACGCCGCTCAGTGCGTGACGAGCAGACCATAGAACGGCCAGACGCACTACTTGTTGCCCGCACTTTCTCAGGCTTGGTGAGGATGACCCTGTTTTTCTAACTCAATTTCGGCACCGTCCCAACGCGACCGCTGCGGGACTTGAACGCCCTAGCGAATGAAACTTCAGCATAGGTGGCCAGTCCAGTAGTTACCACAGTTTCTTGCCCCCTCTCAATTATTTATGTAAAAGTGGGAGTAGCGCTTTCTAGCTTTTCTATAGCAACGGGCTTGCCCATACGGCCCATGGAAACGGTCCTCCTGGTAGCTTACCGCTCAGTGTGTCTTCAAATGAAACATGCAGGCGGTGTTTCCTAATGCGCGTTTCGTTTCAAAAATTGACAAATGAAAAAAATTGACGTTCCGAAAATTCAATAGCAAGCCTAGACAGGTGCTTACATTGGGATGCTTGATTGTGGTGAGCAGGATGAACTCTCGGTAAGCTCTTCGAGCACTCATCGTCATCACAAACGGCTGTTGCATCTTCTTGATGGCGACTTTTGTCCCGGTTACGGTATCATCAGCAGAACTAAATCACCATTTTACAAAAAGCAATCCACGAAACTGCAAAGAAGATGAACTCACACAACAGTTCCTTGAGCACCTGCATTCAGAAACTTGAGATTGATATATCGTTTAGGAATGGTAAACGAACATGAACATTGTGAAAGGGGATCCTAGAAGCGAAGCTTTCCTCTGGACGATAAGTAAGAAATAAGTATGAATGAACTTACTTTCACTTGAATCTGGTGGAACTTCCTGGTGTCATAATCACATTCAGTGGGGATATTGCCGTTACATTGGTCTACATCCATCGAACCCCTGCAGAGGAAAAAACACTTGCTGAGAAACGTCAGGAATGAGACTTCGAAGAGATCTACAGCGATTAATAAAATGTAGGCTTGCAACAATTAAACAGCTGTTCATTCAATCCCACATTCGTAGTGATTGATGGACATGAGTGCATTTTTTATAGTGAGACTCCAAAGAAATCGTGAGGAGATGAAAGGAAGGAGCAGGATGCCAGCGCGACGAGCTACAATGGTAGGAAGGTAAATTGTAAGGGCGAAGTCTGAGGGTAGAGGTTGATCTTCTGAAGCAAGATTATTGAGCGCTGAGGTGCCGCTCTGTGGAACCACATCATGCAGATGCAGAGTATTTTCGAGGAAACAGAGAAATAATTCCATGAAAAGCAGTAAAAGCAGACAATATAGTAGAACACTAAGGCTTCTTGCATAGAAAGGTACGGTAAGGTACTAAAATAGATCTTTCTTCCAAAGTCACGATAGAAAATCTGAAGGGTGCTGAGTGGTAGAAACCTGTGAAGGATTGCAGTAAAAGGCAAGTGAGAGAAGAACAACAGAAGAGAGTGACGCATTAGATCCATAAACTGACGATTTGAACCAGTCCGCCCTTCTGTAACAGTGAGCAGAAAAGCAAAAAAGTAGTACAGTCCTGTTCGTTGCGAGGCTGGTGCGTGTCAGGTGGTGGGCTGGTTTGGCGCACCGCCCGCCAGTTTTCCACCAATTGTGGTCGCTAACCAGCTCCCAGAATTGGTGGAAAACAGGCTGGCGCCGTGCCAGATTCACCATCAGCGACCCGCCCCCCCCCCCCACCAATCCTCCTAACACGCCCCATCGACCGCAGCGACAAGACTCTATATTGTGCTATACTATCCCACTGATTGGCACTGAAATGCCCAAGTACGGAACACCAAGACTTCAGTACAACTTCGATCACCCACAATTGCAACAATTCACTCACGAAATACAATGTTACTAGAGTTATTCTTGAACTTTTCTTGAAGAACCAGGTCGCCTTTCGCCACTTTCCCGAACTCAAAATGTTTACAATAGCCTTAAGGAGGAAAGCGGCGACCAAAAAAGTGCTTGACATCCGAAATTACTCCACTTTATTGAGAAACACTATTTTACATCACATAAAAACATCTATCAAGCGAAAATGTCCTCAAAGAAGCGTAAAGAAGATTGTCAAAAAATTCGGAGGAGTAAGCGCACACCTTCCGCAACAGATATGGTAGCCAGCTTCGTAACGTCCAGGGTCGAGAGAAAAGGCAATGCCAGATCTTTAGTCAGAACACATTTCGTTTCAAGCGGCCACTTCGACCATCCTTCGTTGTATTATGTAAGCGTTTACCGCACCGCTACTAAATCGGCTTCTTTCATGTGAGTATTGTTATTTTACCCCCAGAGTCCGTAGCTTCTTCAGAGGTTTACTAAGCAAAGGGTAGCGTTCGGCGGTACGGCTATCGCTCCAGCCCGGTTAGTGCGAGATCCTAGGTTACAGCACTTACCGGCGCCAGCCTTTTGCAAATAGCCGAAAAAAGCGAACAAGCCACAAAACTGCTTTTCCAACAGTTGTTCCTTTTCAACAGCAAGGCAGTAGAAGGGGATCTGTGCAGCAGAAATGCAACCAGAACAAATTCTTAGCGCTCTGAATCGGTCTACTTGGCACTGAGCCTTTACAGCCTCCATGATCCGTGGGGTCGTCCACTAGACCCAGCGGTACTGAAAAATACTCGCCCCTAGTTCCCTGAAATGCATGAAACAATTCAGATTGTTAGAGGATCTCCTGCCTTTGAATAGTTCTTCGAAACTTCACTTGATGACTCAATAGGCCGCTTTAGATGCCAGGCTTATACCGGTCACTTCGTCACCAGACTCTACCTTGGGTTATATTTTTTCTGTTTATGCATGGTGTCCTTTGGGTCGACCGGTGAGAATATTCAACCTGTCAGAGATTACTTTGCCGCAAATTTCGTCCTGCCTAACTCAAGAAAACAACTATGCTGGAACAGGAAAATGCGAATTTCGACTTTGCCTCCAAGTTGTTTTTTCCTTACTGTATGTTACAAGTTGCTGTGAGTTTCTTTAAAAGTAAAATCACGTCTTATTACATGATCTACCCTCACCCGTTACCAATTCTCTCAAAACTCTTGAAGCATAAAAATCGCTTAAGAAGGCGGTAGCCACCAAATACCGTTGTCTGACTTCTTCACAGTCCACCGCGCGGTCAAGCAAAACTAGAGCGACGATTTCATTTGCTTTTTTCATTGTGGTTTTGGACACTTTCGGGGCTTACGAAGAAATTCTGGGCTGCACCATATCGAATTGGAAAAACAGTTCACATTGTAGAGGAAATGAAAGGAATGGTGCAGGAACAAGCGATCGCGTCATCCAGTGAACGATTTCATGGCTGCACAAACAAAACCGAATCAATAAGGACGATGCTGCAAGGGCATCTACATCGGGAATGCTTCTTACTTTTGTACCACATCAATCAATTACCGACAACTTGATTCTGAGAGTGAGTGGTATAGCCAGCAAGTGGCCGCTTACCTCCACACGGTAAGGTGATCCAAAAAATTTCTCAGATTCGACCCCCACCCAGGCCCCAACCAAGCCTTCTATCATAGGTGGCACGTAGCAATACGGGCACCGATTCTCTGAGAGGGTTAAAAACAATCACTTCTACCTCTGGCTGCCCCGAAGTTAGTTTTATTACGGTCACATCGCCATTTAATTAAAGCTACGTGATTGATTTTAGAATGAGATGCGAATCTGCGTGGCCGCAATACTACAAAAGGATAATCCAGCCGCCGAGGAATCTAATACTTTTATTTCTTCAAACTGATTCTGCGATTACATTCCACTAACGTCGAGCAATTACAAAAGCCATAGGACACGAATATGGAGGGTAAACTTAGCTAAGCAGTCGCTCTGGAGATGGCATCCATCTATTCCACTAATATTGCAGTGGGTTATCTATGATCTCGAGAACGGCGCGAAATTGATCGAATTCTGTGTGTTTCATTTCCCTTCCTGACCAGCGTGTAACCATTTTTCTGACCTTGGAGGAATGTAAGGCTTGATTGGTGCGGGCGGGAGCCGATCCGCAACTTGACATAGTACGTACGCCTAATCAACAGCGCCAGTTGCCACTACAGCATGTTTGAACTACGCATTATCACAGAGTAAAAAGGCTTCCGCAAAAGAGCAAAAAGATTCCATGTTATTGCACTTGAACACCTACATATGGCCCAGTACGTGGAAAGGATTTCGAGAAAATCAGCTGATTAGCGCGCGCATCATGGTTGAGGCATTAAATTCCGGACGGACACTTGTGCAATTCGATCGAACCCTTCGAATATACGGGCTCATCCATTAATAGCGTTCAATCCGACAAATAAGAGCTCAGGTGTCAGCTTAAATCCAAGTGGAATGCATGGCGTACTTCACAAAAGAAAAACAGAGCGATTAATGAGCAGTTCAGAAACAACTTCCACAGGTTTACTTTTATATTGAGTACAAGCTCCCTTTTACGCTCCCTTTCTAATCCTGGTCCTTTGCCAGTGTGTAGCAGAACGGTACTAACTGCCAGTAGCGCGGCCACTTTCCCAGTACATGGCGAAGCGGGAGGGTAGTGATACTCGGCCACACGCATAACCATGGCCAGAGGCGCTACCTGTCTGCTAATCCTCACTCCTGGTTAGTTTCTCCCGCTGAGCGAGAGTTTTGCTGCGGGTCTTAGTATCGGCGCAAGTTCTGTACTTTGAGAATAGCGTGGGCGCCACCCAGATGTCAACACGCCGTTCCTGTGCATTTTTGAGTGGGAAAGTGGCACGCTATTGCAGCTGCTGACCTATTCACCCTGTCCATGGAAAAAATCGTCCTCAGAAGTGAGCTCGTTTCCCATAACTTGTTCATTTCCTGACTTCTACCGTTTTTTAATATCTGCCATGGCGGAAATGAGAAATTATAACTGCCAAAAGCCTGGACGTTGTCGAATTATAACTGCCAAAAGCCTGGACGTTGTCGACTTTGATGGACTATATTATAGTGAGCCGTGTATTTCCTTTTGAGAAAAAACCATGCTTGAAATGAAAAAAATAGTAGAGCCTCATTGAAAATCAGTTCTCATGAAAGCCAGTATAAATATTATTGAAATCGGGGAACCGATGTACCATATGATTCCATGAAACAGGGGCCAGGCAATGCAATAAAATGCACTATGGATGATCAACAACTAATGAAGTGAAGTACTGGAAAATTTTTCGCGACAATGACAAAATTATTCATTTCGAATGCAAACAAAACTGGCAACCATGGGGAACCCTCTGATGTGGTTCGAATGAAGTGACATAATTAACAAAGAAGAGTTCAAATTCCTTCAGAAATAATTTTTTTCCACCCGAGTGTTTTATTCTAATATACATCCCTATTGCAGGTGATACTGTTCGATATTAGATTATTCACTATTAAGAAGTACAAAGTATTCGCGTTGATCAATCGTTTTTTGGATCGTAGTGACTTATTAAATGCAATGTGGCCTATACAATGACTTGCGGGGGCCCGCGAATGTATTCTTGTCTTCCGAGATAAATATGAGTGCCAATTTTACTGCCCCTTGGAAGAACAAGCTGCATCCTGGGCCATGTGATGCAGAGCCGCGTCCCGGGACCATGACCCCGGACCGCTACGCGGGTAAGGGCTCATCCCTGTCCCATTTCCTACCCATTATTACAGAATTATATTGTTGCTGTTTCCTTACTGTGTTGTACCAGTGAGTAAAAATGGGTGCTTTCTGCAAGCATCATGACACAACGACTGATCCTAGCATCACGCCCACGCACAAGCAACTGTGTATTCTGTTCCACATCCTACATACGACTCAACAGAAAATATTATTTTTTGCATATCTTTGCCAATTACGGCATCATTTTCGCAACGACAGAACCCTATTACCGGCTGAGCCCCATGCAGAAATTGGGTTAATTTGGGTAGTCACACACCCC